GGCTGCCCAGAGGGGCTGTGGAGTCTCCTTCTCTGGAGATATTCCAGCCCCGCCTGGCCACGGTGCTGTGCCCCCTGCTCTGGGTGACCCTGCTTGGGCAGGGGGTTGAGCTGGGTGACCCACAGAGGTCCCTGCCAACCCCTGCCATGCTGGGATTCTGTGGGAGAAGGGGGCTCAACCTCCCCTTCCTTCTCTCACCCCCCTGATGTGTGGAATCAAACTTCACAACTCCAAAAGTTATCAAGCAGGGCTGTTCATCATGGCGCCGGGTGCAAGGGGGATCGCTCCCCCTCACTTGCACACCGAAGCGTGCACCTATTTATCACAAAGCTTACCTAAGTAGGCTGGACTATTGTAATTATTTCTAGGAATTCATTATACTCCACCCCCCTTTAGCACTTGCGTAGTCTGTGGGGGTCTTCTGGATGAAGGCTCGTAGTCTTCCTCGCTGCGTGCATTCACCTGTGGCTCAAAAATTCCTGAGTTGTCTGTGTTGGCTGAGTCCCAAACCATGGAAACAGTTTCAGCTGGAGAGTTGCTTCTTACAGACAACAAAGTTCTGGTTATCAGTCCTTGTTTTTCTTCGTCTGTCTCGCAAGCAGTCCTTGTTAGCTACATTTGAGCCACAACAGTCATTGTTAGCAAGATTACAAAGAGCAGAACTAAATTAATTAACAGTGTTTAACCGCCTACCTTAACGTAGCTGCATAGCTTTATAACAAACTAAACTAAAGCTCTAGCAAAATCGAACTAAACATCAATTTCCCACATCATTTCCCCCCTTTTCTTTCTTCTTTTGCAAATTCTTTTGCTATAAAGTTTCCCTCCTCAAGGGTTTTGGCAAAATATTCGACGCTGTCACTGTTTTGTTGTGACTTGTGGATCTCGGGCTGTTCTCATTCAGCCCTTCCCATCGGGGCAGTTCGTCTGACACGAGGTGTTGGTTGTTACCTACAGCTGAGAGCGACGATCCTAACGGGTGTTGTATTCTACTGAAACCTCGCATAATGGTGGACAACTTATTCACCAGCACCTCGGAACCTGTACTGCTCAAAACTCCTAAACCCGTTCCCACAAAGCCTGTTGTGTCCCTTTTTCTCCTCTGAGATGTGAGAATCACAGAATCACAGAATGGTCGGGGTGGGCAGGGACCTCTGCGGGTCACCCAGCCCAACCCCCTGCCCAAGCAGGGTCACCCAGAGCAGGGGGCACAGCACCGTGGCCAGGCGGGGCTGGAATATCTCCAGAGAAGGAGACTCCACAGCCCCTCTGGGCAGCC